CCCCTCCCCCTCCCCCTCCCCCTCGAGTTGCTGCTCGACGTAGGCGTCAGTATCGTCCATTTCCTCCATCTGACGCTGGTACTGCTGCTCGAGATACTCGTCTTCCGCCTGATGGTGCTCGTGCTGCTGCTCCTCGACCAGCTGATCGACGTAGTCATCGATGTCGTCTGCTCCAGGCTCAGCGTCGGCGAACGGCTGGTCGTAGGCGACGTTCTGGTGGTAATCCCAACCCTGTTGAATGCATGACAGACAGTGGATATGTATATCTTGTGTGTGGGCAGGGGGGATGTGTCTGTGTGTGGAGGTGTGTGTTACTTACCTCCTGATGGGCTTCCTCGTGTGCTGCTGGTACCGGCAGCGCATCGAAGGCCACCTGTGCCACACAAGCACATCCATGGACAGACAGACACATATACGACTGTGCGCCTGTGCGCGCGCGTGCGTGCCTGTGTGCGTGTGCATGTGTACCTACCTGCCCATGCTCCCCAGGCTGCTCCTCATCGTCGTCATCCTCATTCGATGCCTCCTGAGAATACACACCAATCCAAACCCACACACCGGTGTCTGTAGGTGTGTGGTTTTTGTTCATGAGAATACCTCGTCGGCATCGTTGACATCCTCCTGGCCCGTCGCCGCCCGCAGCTGCTGCACGGTGTCACGCAGGCCGTAGTTGACACTCACATGCGCCTCTGCAGTCTCTCGCCTAATTGACAGGCATTTGATAAGGCCCTGAGGCGTGCATCCATGTGTCGTGCTGGTGGTGTACCTGCAGGTGGGGCAGACGGCTGTGCGACGCGGACCGCGGCGAATGAGCCTCCGAACACACTGCATACACACACAATGCACGCAGGCAAGCGACGACAGAACACCGATTATCGTGTGAATCCATCTGTCTCGTGTTCTCTGTCTGTCTGAACCCGCTGGCAGAAGGAGTGACCTGATAGATTGCAATGCACACATGACGCACAATCACAGCACAGATCTGTGCCCATCTGAGATCTCTCTCCGTGTGCCTGTGCCGACATGTGTGTCTGTGTCGTGCTCCTCACTCACCGCATCTGAGAACCTGAGGCTGCCTGCGGGCGTGTTGATGATGGTAGTCCTCGAAACACACATCACACTGGGGAATCTCCGCGACGTTCTCCGCCATCACCACACTGCAGTCATCCACATCCATCCAATTGTCGTTAGCTTATGACAAAGAAGCACTGAATGGTCTTACCTCGAGTGTCGTTAACGATTCAGTCGCTTCCACTTCTGAGCTCGCGTCGTTTGCGAGCTTAGAGTGCAGTGAGGAGAAAGCCCGTTTGAAACCTTGTTGGTCGTTGAGAGATGCCTGCCGTGCACAAGTCGCCATGACCGTGTTGCCGCGCCCCCTGATCTGTTGGCTCGTTGCCCTGCTTCAAGTGGTGTCTGCAATCGAAGCGCTCGCGTCGGCTTTCCTCCTGCAGCCGGCGCGGCACACAGGGCCGCCATCTGCCCCGTCGCCACACCTATTCGGCGTGGCTCGGTGACCAAAATACACACAAAGACAGACACACAAGCAGAGCGCCATCTGGCTGTGTGTGTGTGTGTGCGCGTGTGTGTGTGTGTGTGTGTGTGCAGCAGTCGGGCGCGCACCCGTCGGTATGTGAAAGACGGTGACAGGTTGTTCCAGGATGCCTTTCAGAGGGAGGAGGCGAAAGAGCGGCCCGTCAAGGGATCTTCACCCAGGCAAGCACACGCACAGACAGATAAACTGACAGAAGGAGTCAACAACCACACCTACCCCTCTCTCTCCCTCTCTCTCTCTCTCTCTCTCTCTCTCTCTGTGTGTGTGTGTGTGTGTGTGTGTTTGTGTGTGTGTGACATTCAGTGGCAGCGATGCGTCAGCGTCTTTGAGTGTGCCCAACCCCTCAGCGTGGCCGTCCTTCCCACAGCTGGAGGTGCCCAACAGCAACAAGTGGCAGATAAGGCGATACGAGAGCCAGGACTGGAAGATACGCAGATACTCCTCTGAAGGTGCACCTTCCAGTCCTGGCCAAAGACGCACGAACGGGTCACACACACGTGTGTGTGTTTGTGTGTGCGTCGGTTCGGTGTGCAGATTGGCTGGAGTGTCTGCTAACTTTGCCCCTCTCCCGGATCTTTGTGCGCATCCGGGGGCAGCTCATATTCCAGGTCTGGTGTGTCACACAGTGCGCAGCAGACACATAAAACGCGGCGCAGCTCATTCTGTGTGCTCCTCTCGTGTGTCCCTGTGTGTGTGCTTATGGGCAGGTGGTGTTGACAACGTTCATAGCGGCCCTGCACCACCTGAGCAGAAACCCCAAGTTCCTGACGCTGCCCTCAACGCCGCACTCCCTCACGGGCGGCGCACTCGGCCTGCTGCTCGTCTTCAGGGTGCGATAAGGGATGGCTGGATGTGTCGATCTCTGTAACTCTCTCTCTCTCTCTGTGTGACTTGACTTGTGTGCAGACGAATGCGGCGTACTCGCGGTTCTGGGAGGTACTTACACAGGGGATGTGCAGACGTGTGTGAGAGGTGTGGTGAGCGGTTTTTGCTGTGTGTGGTGTGGTGTTGTGTGTGTTGTGATGTGTTGTGTGCAGGGCCGCAAGTGTTGGGGTACGTTGGTGACGACCATCCGTGAGCTGGCCTATGAGTTCTCCTTCTACATGCCCCAGAAGTTCCACCACCACGTGTATGTAGGCCTACATACATACATACATGCTGAGATGGATTGATGGACGATCGATGCCGTGCGTGTATGTGTGTGCTTGTGTGCAGGCTGCGTTTGCTGAAGGCCTATCCCCGTCTTTTCAAGCAGCACCTGCAGGTACGTGTGAAGACACACAGAGATGGATGCATACCATACGGACACCCTTCGTTGACCACCAACACCACAACAAACAGGGTGAGTTGAATCTCAACGAGGTGGGCCATCTGCTGACCGAGCAGGAGCGCACACAGATACAAACCGTCAACAACCCGCCACTCTACCTACTGCGTGTAAGCAACCACAGACACATGAACACACACACACATGGATGGATGGATGGATGCGTGTGTGTGTCGGTCAGCGGATGTGCGGCATTCTGTATGAGGCCTACGAGGAGAGTGGAGGCACCAAACCTACTGAGGTCGGCGGCTTGACGAAAGGCACCCACCGGTCTCATTGCACACTGATGTCATTCATGTGCACCGTGCAGCGGAAAGTGGTGGCTGTCAACGCCAAGCTCGGCAAGCTCTGTGAGATGCTGGGGGCGTGTGAGCGTATCATCAAGACTCCTGTGCCCGTCAGCTACAGGTACACACACACACACACGTGTGTGTGCACGTGTGTATCCGCCTGTGTGCTCTTTCCTGCAGTCGGCACACAAGCCGATTCCTGACGTTGTACTGCGCCACGTTGCCCTTCGCTCTGCTCGAGTCGCTGCGATGGGCGGTGGTGCCTGTGGTGGCCGTCATGACCTGGGGTGCGTCAATCACTCAGACACAGACAGACGACCATCCACACAACACACGCATATTTGGGTGGGTTTTCCCTCCCCCTCCCTCCCTCTCCCTCTCTCCCTCCCTGTGTGTGCAGGTTTCCTGTCGATCCAGGAGATCGGTCACTTCATCGAGGACCCGTTCGACCGAATCGCGTGCCAGATCCCCATGGAGGGCCTCTGCGAGACCATCGAGGTGCGGTCGACACAGCCACATGAACCACATGAGCATGCTGACCTTGAGCAGACCTCGCATGAGGTCCGAACAGATGGTTGATAATACACCCCTGTCTGTGTCTGTGTGTGTCACTGAACTAACTTGTGTGGCTGTGTGTGTGTGCGCGTCTCTCTGTGCACACCACACACCACATGCAGGCTGACATCACCGACCTCACGTCTATGCCGTACATCCGCCATTTCGGCACGCAGGTCAACGGCCACCCCTCGCCCACACCAACGAGCGCCAGCACAAGCGCGGCGAACGAACCCCTCGCACACACATAGACAAACAGACAGACCGACAGATGGCTGGATGGTCCGAGAGGTAGATGTGGGTGTGTATTGTATGGTGTGTACTGTGCAGTACCCATCGATGTAGAAATGTACAGATACGCAGAGGGACAGCGGTGTGCGTGGGTGTGTGAGCGACTCTGTGAGCGAGTTTTTCTGTCTCCCGATGAATGAGTGGCGATTCTTTGTTTTTTGCGTGCGTCAGTGAGTCGCTCATGCATCGTGTTGTTAACCCCTTGTCCGTCATGCAGTCAGCGTGATGACAGGGAGGGAGGGAGGGAGGGAGAGAGGGGGAGGGGTCGATGGATGCACCACACCCACCCACAGTACATACAGTACACCTTTCAATTAAATGCGTACACACAGACACACACATACTTAGGGCCATCCAGAGAGAGAGACAGACGGCGAGAGAGACGTTGGATGGGCACATTGCTGTTGTGGTGGTGCATCATCGGCTGCCATGGGCTTTGTGACGTGACTGACGTACATATCATGTGGCTGACCGACACACATTGCATTGCAGTTGGTGGTAGACAAGAGATACAGACGGAGGAGCTTGCATCTACTGAATGAAATGTCCAGTCGACGTCAATGTTGCAGGGGACGACACACACAGACACTTGTAGGGACACACTCAATTGCCTCGCTCACAGTGCAAACACTCACACACGCGCAGACAGAGAGCGACACACCCACAATAGGAGGAGTGGGTGGCTTCTACCCAATGCCAACCACCCACCCACTCACCAGGAATAAACGTGTATGACGTCTGTGTTGTGTGGGTGCGTTTGCTTCCTCGTGGCTGGCTGCTGATCGATTTGGTGTTTGGGTCGGTGGACTGGTCCGTATCATGCATACTTGGATGGATGGAATCACGCAATCAATCAAATATGACGCTCTCGTTTGAAAGTGGTTTACACATACCTACCTAAATGGAGTCATGTCTGTCAGCTCAAATGCATGTAGGTCTGTCTATCCCTCCTCTGCCGTCCCCCAAACACGATGCAATGACAGACATCCCTTAGCGACAGCAAAGGAGCCAGGCCTTACAATACATATGTACATACGATAACAGGTACAACACCACACGCAACACATACGGCGCATATTGCCATGATTGTCAGCAAGATTGCCGACACCCACCCACAGGTGGACCGACCTACCTACCTAGTACACACACTCATCCCTTGAGCCACTTATGTTGGCTCAGTCATACCACGCCGCCACACACACACACACACACAGACAGAGAGAGAGAGAGATTCTCAAGATTACAACACCATAAAAGACGGAACCACCAGAACACAGAGAAGTGTACCCTTACACATCCCACATCCCACACCACGCCAAATCCACAGACACTTGGACACACATCCACCACGCTCATCTGTCACACTATCCTCTGCACATGGCTTATCCAAACATACGTGCGTACATTACGCTAACAATTAGGCCGCGCCTTCTGCCAAAGCCACTCACTGGATGGACTGTTGTTCAGCGACAGATCAGGAAGACGCCGTGGTGTCAGATCCGCCATTAGTCGCGGTCTCCTGGTCGGCCGTGATCGGCTGCACCCGTACCAGCTGCCGGTCGGTGTTTCTCTTATAAGTGATATTCGCTGCGCTAGGCGGTGGGGGGCCGAAAGGTGTCGTCACAGTGACGGCGGTTGGCGGCTTGGTCTTGGGGGCGAGGGAGGCCACAGCCTCCTGGAAGCTCATAGTGATGGTGCTGCTCACGCCGGTATTGGCCGCGTAGCTGCCATGAATCACACAAACAGGATGCCAATTTGCAAGTACATACACCGTGCAGTGCATCCCTTATGTGTGTGTGCGTGTGTACCTGCCGCTGATGGACTGCCAGCTTTCCTGGTCGAAGCGGCCAATGACGTCCACGTGAAGGTTGCCATTGATGGCCTTCTCGCCCCACGACACCTGGCCGGTGGTCGCGTTGTAGAAGCCCTCCGCCTTGAAGGCTCCGTCTGCGTCGCTTCCCTCTCCGTTGAAGCTGCCGTCGTACTCGAATGTGAGCATATAGGTGGTGATGAAACTCCGGCCGTTCTCCCAATATTGGCCCACCCACCTGCCCGACGGAGGGGGCGTGGCGGTCGGTGTGGGCTTGATACGTTCCTTCCGGCTGTGGGCGAGAGCATGTCCGAGTCTGGGCGAGTCGGTATTGGCCGTGGAGCAGGGGCGACCCACTTCCCATATACCCCAGGCGAGGCAAGACAGGATGCAGACGAAGGGCACACCAAGGCCGACGACAATGCCAATCCAAGGGTATTCACTTCCACCACCAGTAGATTCGTAGGCGGGCATTCCTCCACCACCACCTCCACCACCACCACCACCGCCGCCACCTCCGCCGCCTCCCTTCAATCGGCGGCCCTCCGCATCGACGAGAGCCACCGCAGCGGCCAGTAGCGCCAGAGGACGGCGGCAATCAAATACGCGCAGCATCGCCATATCCTCCCGTCTCAATCAAATTCCCGTCAGAGATGACGGACGCAGATGAGCTTGTCTTGTTGGATGTGACACCAACAGACCCGACAGCTGGGGTCAGTGGGGAGACGAGAAGGGAGAGGAGAGGTCTGGGAGGAAAGAGAGAAGCGCGCAATAATGCGGTGCAGACGGACGGCAGATCCCGGCTGCTGCTGCTTCTTATGTAGTTGCTTGACTTGCCTCTCCCCTGCAGCCGCGAGCTCGTCATTTGCGAGCTGAGGTTTTCTCAATATTTCCCGCGGATTTGTAGTGTAGCCCAGTGCATCAGGAAGGGCACACAGCACCGCTTCGGTCGTTTACAGCGACAACAAACGACATCTGGAGCACCAATGCCAACAGCGTTGTAGCTGCCTTGCACCTGTGAGGCAGTTGCAGGTACGCAGATGCGTCCGGCATGAGGAGTTTGTCTGCCCTGTGTGGCCAGCAAGCACACACGTGTTTCGTTCTGTGAGTATATGTTCGGGTGAGTGAGTGGCTTGCAGCCTGGTGTGCGTTTGTCCGCGAGTGGTGTGTGGCTTTGCGTTGACTGTGATGGCACCTGGCGAGACCAAGAAGGGCAAACACAAAGACAAGAAACAATGGAAGAGATTCACAGGTACACACCCACCACAGATAGACAGACAGCTATCACACGGGGGCAGATCACAGCCCATCCATCGTCTGTGTCTGGTCTGTATGTGTCCATCAATCCATCAGCTCGTCGCGACATCCCGCTGGATGAGGATGATGACGAGTGCGGCGAATGGCCGCCCTGCCCACCCAATAACAACCAGGGACAGCGGAACAGTGAGTAAACCAACACGCACTCCGCAGACAGACACATATATGTCATGTATGTGATGTGTCAGGGTATGGGGCTGACAATGACGGCATCGCAGGCGCTGCTGCTGATGGCTATGATGATGAAGAGGGCGAGGAGGACATTGATGCCTTCCGCCCAGACAGCAGCGACAACATCGATGACAACGATCAGATCAACGATGGTGACATCAGGTACGCTGTGGCCGACGGATGACCTCTCCTTTGTGTGAGTATCCATCACATAACGCATGTGTGTATGGCAGCAGTGAGGTGCCGCCAGTATCTGCTCCCCCCTCTCCCTCGATGGCCCCGTCAATCGCTCACTCGAACAGAGACCGATTGTACAGGTGCAGACAGACAGACACAATACACACATTGAGGTGTGTGCTTCCGGTGTCTGGGTAGTGCACACGTGTGTGTGTGTGTGTGTGTGTGTATGTGCAGGCCGGCGGCAGTGACTGAGAGCGGGGAGGGCATTGGGAAGGCGGCAATCCTTTCAGCCAGCAGGTGGGTGAATGGCTTCAGATCTCACCATGGACTGGGACTGATACGTACGTACATGTGAATGCTTGTGTGTGTGTGTGTGTGTGTTCAGTTCATCGCAGGGTCGCTTTCACGCCAACGAAGACCGCTGCAGGTGGGTGCGTACACATGTCTGTCTGTGTGTACTCGTGAGTGTCTGTGCGTGCAGGGCCGATCTGGCTGTGAAGGTCATGACTACAGCTGAAGGGGTATGCCTTATACACACACACAACACACCACCTGTGTGTGTCTGATTCATCGATGTGTGTGTGTGGCCGCCAGGCTGCGTGTGCAGAGCATGGCGGCATGTGCCTGTTCACCATGTGTGACGGGTGCGGTGCGCACGGCACGCACAGACAGACAGACAGACAGACGTCCGTGTGCGCACACGTGAGTGCACCCCTTGTGTGCAGCCATGACGGCTCCAAGTGCGCCGAGTTCGTCTGCAAACACATCGGCAAGGCGCTCTTCGGTAGGTACTACTCACTAAACGCACAACGCGCAGACACACGTGTGTGCCATGTGTGTACCCTCCCCCCCCACCCCCCACACATACATGCAGGTCGTTTGCTCGACCAGTCGTCGCCGCAGGCAATCGAGCGGTCCTTCGTCGAAGCATTCCACGTGTGTACTCAGACACCTAGACGCACACGCAGAGAGAGAGAGAAGGGCCGGGCGACATTGTGTCTGTCTGTCTGTCTGCCTGTTGATGTATGTGTGTGTAGGAAATGGAAGATCGCTTCGCGGAGGAAAAGTGCCCCTCGAGCGGAGCGGTGAGACTACCATTTGCACACTCACACACACACACACACACATACATACATGCCACATCAACATCCATGTGTGGGTGTCTGTGTCTGTGTGTGGTGTGGTGTGGTGTGCAGTGTGTGTTGTGTGTGCTGATTGTTGGGGATAGGCTGTATTGCGCAAATTTGGGGGGTAAGAAGAGCACAGCACACACCAGACGAGCAGAGCTCTGCTTTGTCAACTTACATACACAGACAGACGTGCATCGATATCGACTGTCGTGTGTGTGTATGTGCAGACTGCCGCGCAGCGTGGGTCTCGCTGGCAGACAGCAATTATCGTAACACCGGTACACACACACACACGCAAGCGTGTGTGAATGATTGTCTGTCTGTCTGTCTGTGCATAGCTGCAGATAATGGCGGCGTAGGTGTGTTTCGGTCTGTGTATCTGAGTCGCGACTTCCGCGCGTCAGACAAAGACGAAATCAGACGCATACAAAGACTCGGCGGTCAGTCGGCCATCCACACACACACGTATCAGTCAGTGTATTTGTGTGTGTGTTCAGGTAGGGTGATGAATGGGCGTGTGGCTGGCATCCTCGAGCCGTCCAGAAGTGCGTTTTAACACCACACAGCACAGCAGACAGCACTCACTCAGCACACACACATAACATACACACATCCATGGGCACATACATACACACATACATACATGGGCACATACATATTGTTTGATTTAGTTGTTGACATATATCACATACATATCAGCGATCGGCGATTTCGATGTCAAGAACACGCAGCCGGCAGGTCGGTGAGAGGGTCGGTGGGTGCGGATCCAGACACACATACACAATGAGGGAGGGAGGGAGGGAGTGGCCACGATGGCCATGGACACTGACTCACTCATGTGTGTGTTTGTGCTATCTATGCCTTGAGTGACTTAGGTGCGATATCGACAGTCCCTGAGATCCGTGTGCACCAGATGGACACACACGGCATGCTGCTCATCGCAACAGACGGTACACACCCCTTGCTTGACGCAGACAGACACGAATACACATATGCTATGCTACGCATGATGGCTTCACACACAGGTGTGTGGGAGTCGCTGAGCGCCGCCGATGTCTGCGATCGCGTCCTCTACAGGCACAAACTCTTGTTAGTTAGTTGCCCGTACCTACAGTGTCTGTCTGTCACCCACACCCACACACACGGTGGCCCCATGTGAGCTGAGGATTCATTTGTGTGTGCATAATGAATACAATACACGCAGTTCTCGGATGGTGTCATGGCTGCGGCCATCTGGCAACGATCAGAAAGGCAACAACGGCTGTGGCACTAATGGTGGCAGCGGCGGTGTGGGTGGTGGTGGTGGTGTTGATGCGGATCGGTCTTCATCGGTGCTCAATGGGCGACGGAGCGACGACAGCGGGGAGGGGGGGAAGGGGGACGGTAGGCATAGCACACAATCACAATCACAATCACACACACAGACATTGCACACACGTCTGTGTGTGTGTGCGCGTGTTCGTGTTGGTCTTTGTTCAGGCGGCGATGGGTCGGATTCCCAGTCGTCTCAGTCAGAAGAGAGCGACCAGGACGAGAGCGTCGCTGACACAGGTGAGTGAGTGTACGCACACTCACCTATTTCTCCACACTCATCCACTCTTCATGTCCGTCCATGTCTCTGTGTGTGTGTGCTTAGGGAGCCCCAGCATCCCTCAGCTACGCACTCTCGCCAAACACATCTGCACTGTGGTGGGAATATCATACACAACACACGCAGCCACCCAACCGACCCACCCACATGTCTGTCTGTCTGTCTGTCTGTGTAGGCGCAAGAGCTCGGCTCGTATGACGACTGCACGTGTCTGGTGGCCTTCATTCGGCCAGGTAGGTACACACACATCCCCACATCTCTCAGAAATCCGCTCACTCACTGACCCGTTTCTTCGTTCACGCTCAGGCAAGTGCTACAACTTCCCTGCGGCCGAGGGGACCGGTACACACACACACACACACACACACATCCACAACCCTCCGTCCCTCCACCTGTCTTTTGTGTGTGTGTGTGTGCAGGTGACCCGAATTCCCCCCCATCGATGGAGGTCTGCACCGGCGGCAAACGACGACTCATGAAAAGAGAGGTCAACACAAACACAAACACACACATGGGATGGATGGATAGATTGGTCACATCTGTGTGTGTGTGCGTGTGTGTGTGTGTGTGTGCAGCGTCGTGCGATTCGGCGAGCAGACAGAAATATCAACACGCCTGTGGACGAACAGGTGCGTACACTTACACGCACGCACCATGCGCACACCTGGAATACGTCTGTGTATTGGTGTGTGCGTGTGTGTGCTGCAGGCGGCTGACTACGAGCAGGATATCGCTCTCCAGCACAAGACCTTCAGGTGGTGTCTTGATTAGTGACTAACTGCTATCTTTGTGAGACATTTCGCATCCATGTGTCCATCAGGGAACACACAGAGGCGGAGCAGTCCATACTCTCGAGAATGGGATACGAAGCCGACAAATGGTACAAACCATCACACACACTTTCACACACAATCACACAATATCGCCTCTCTCCCGCTCTGTGTGTGTGCGTGGGTACATCAAAGGGACATGCCGAGTTCGTCTGACAGCGACGAATCGTCATCCGAGGAAGGAGACAACGACAGACACGACAAGGATGACAACGAAAATATCAGTGAGTTGGTTGGCACATCACATCCACACACCCATCCGCGCCGCACACAATACGCCTCAATGAATGTCATGTGTGCAGATCTCCGCCTGTCGTCTGAGCGTGCCGTGCTGCGATCGAGGAAGACCAAGACGTCACTCGACGATACGAATGACAACAACGTCAACGTACACACACACAGAGCACAGCCCCCCTCCACCCCACGCGCACACACACACACCTCTCACGTGTGTATGCAATGCAATCGACGTATGTGCACCATGGAAGGCATGCCATGTCTGTGCAGCTGACGATCGACTTCTCGCCGGCCTCTAACGCAGCCCTTCATGGATCGCCAGCAGGCGTATGCACACACACAGGCACACACACACACACACACGCACAGAAAGACACAAGGTACCGACGCATTTCTCCATGTTAAATGTATGCGTGTTGTGCTGTGTATGCAGAACAACAAGATGAAGATGGTGTTTGAGCGGCCGCAGACGCCCATCGCTGCCTGCCATTCGGGTGCGTGCATGTGCCACATTCACATATGATGGGAGGGTGCATCATGGGTGCGTGTGTGTGTGTGTGTGTAGATGGTGCTGAGGATGCCGAATCCACGCCAGGCGGCAATGCCAATGCCCTGCCGTCACTGACGTCCGTCCTGCTGGTTGGATGGACTCATGCACACATGTACATGACGGACGGGACGTCTCTCCCTCCCTGGATCTGTGGGTGTGCAGAATGGCGACCATTCTCAGCAGCCCAGCACGCCTGAGCAAAAGCCGGCCACCAGGAGAGGGCGAATGAGGTACGCACGTCTTTTTGGGGTGACACGTCTCACCTTTCAATGTGCACACACTCACAGGTCGCCCTTCTACTCCCCCCTTCCCGCCCCGTCATTGCCAATCGATGAGCCTCACGACCATGACCGCCATATTGGCCACACGGCGTGGCACACGAGTGACTTTGAGCACGAGGCCAAGCGCATCCGCATCCATACCGACACACACACCGCTGTTGCTGCTGGGGGGGAGGGTGGGGCAGACAGCAACGGTAGAAAAGACGGGGTTGGGGGGGATGGGGGTGGGGATAGTGATAGAATGGACGAGGGCTGATGGATGTACGGATTGACTCATGAATGATGTATGGATTGACTCAACCATGGAAGTTTGGCTGAGCACAGGTTAGTTCAGTAACACACAGACAGACATGTACGTACCTTGAACTGCGTCACATGTGAACGAGGCAGCCACAACGCACCGCATTGGTGTTGCGAGATCGTTTGTTACTCGTCCTCCACCAATGCACTTCAACAACCACTGCGACTTCAACCACTGCAAAGCTCGCAAAACCCAGAGTCATTCTTACCCTTCCCCCCACATTCACCCTTAACCACCACTGCGAGTCATCTCGACTGGGATGGGGGTCGGTCAATCTCGCGCCACTCTCGTTTCTCGAGCGGAAACCGCTATGAAACAACTGGAGGTCCACCCTCCTGACCTGTCCGAGCTGGGTTGGGATGATTTCCAGGCGCTTGAGACTACACTCAATGCGGACGGCTCGGTCAAGGACAAGGACATGTTCCTGCACTACGTGAGGGGATTCCATCAGCGGCAACAGGCTGCGCCTGATGGCGAGAAGAGGGGAGGTTACAAAGTGCAGGACCTACATCGCCAGGTGACTGACACATGGGCGTGAGGAAGTGACACCATCCCATCGATGCGTTATGTCTTGTGCTGTGTGTGTTGCGGTGCTTTCAGTCTGGTCTCGGGCGAGGCTGATCCTGTCCCTCCCTCATCGGCTGGGTTGCCCGAGTCTGGTTCCTCCCCTGTGGTGGATGAGTCCATCGTGGCAGGTGGGGTCAAGGGGGCGATGCCGTCACCGAGGGCCTCATGGGAAAGGGAAGATGAGGGAGATGACACAGCAGCAGCAGGAGGAAGGCAAGGCAGGTGAGGGCAAGGAGGGGTGACCGTTCCGTGCGTATCGACGTGCGCACGAGTCATCAAACGTCGATACGTATGAGCCATCATCTCTGCTGTGTGTGCAGTTTCTCGTGGAATGGGAGGTATTACTCGAAGGAGCTGATCGCCGACATGAATGATCCGGTGAGCAGACGGAGAGAGAACAGGCTGCATACATGCATGGATACACCTGCATCCATCCGTGCCGTCAGAGTAAAGAGATGTGCTGGTCCGAAGCTGTCGGAGAGGGATTTGGTGCTGGTCGGTAGCTCATCGATGCTGCCTTATTATTGTGGCGCTGGTGGATGTGGCAATGTCGATTGAGCCACTGCATCAACACCACAAGTGGTACAGAGTTTGCAGCCGGATCTCACTGCCTGCCATCTTACATACAGGGCACGTGACTGCATGGATTGCCCATGGCCATCACTGCTCTCACTGCTCTTTTATCGGCTTTCGGTGGCTAATCTATCTATCGGCTGGCGCCCGGCCACGCCATCGCTGTGTGCCAGGTGTTGAGTAGGCGAGTTCGGTGCATGTGTGTCTGGACTGCTGATGTCAGTGAGTGAGAGTGAGGCGATGCGATTCTCGAGGCCATCCCTTGGTGCCCATTGAAGGGATCCACTCGAGGCCAATGCAGGTGAACTCAATCAACATGCACACACTCACGCAAACCATGGCGTCAAATCATCCATTGCAAAGGTTCAATAAGAAATGCAAGCCGTTTCGGTCCACAATGCTGCCTGGTCAAGAGCGTTGACTCTCGCTGAGCACCCGCAGAGGTCAAATGAAGGCCCGCTGCACCCAAACAGGCGCAAATGATGGCATCAGAGCTCCATTCGCGGCCGGTCGGCGGCCAACAGGGGAAAGATCTCATCAAAGTGAGCGTAATTCGTGCAATCTGACTTCAGCTATGGCAGCCGCCATCCTCTCTGCCCCTGCCTGCCTTCTATGGCCCTCGCTTGTCCGCAGAAAGCAAAATGAAGGTGCGGCGAGATTTTTGCGAGCTGAGACGGAGGCAAGCCCGCATTTAGAATCCGCGGCGAGTTTTCACATTCTTCGTCCGCGTTCGGCTTTCCAGCCTTCTTTCAGCCACAGATCCTCCAGTTTCTTTTCTTTTCGGCTGGTTGTTGGCTTGTGTTGTCCGCCGCATCTCCCTCGACCCCTCCCAACTTGTCCGCATTTCATCCGCCACTTTTTCCTCCACCGCCGTGCCCCGGGCGAGGCCTCGCCTGGTGGCGCCCTGCCTTCTGCTGAGTGGCTGGCGACTGCCTGGCGTAAGCTGAGTGGCACGCGCCTTCTTCTCGCATATACCGACCACCAACAGGTGAGTGTGGCCTCGTGTGTCATGTCTGTTGGGTGTGGTGATGGTGGGATGTATGGTTGGTGTGTAGGGATGAATGTATGGCGCATTTTGTTGCCGTGGGTGTCCTCATAGGCCTCTCAGTGCCATGTCTGTGTCTGCAGATGAAAGGGCGATTTCTTCTTTTCATCGCCGTCTCCTTTTCTCGACACATCTCTCTGAAGGTCCGCAAGTGCCTCACTGAGTCTGGTGTTCACGTGCACGTCAGTGTCTTTGTCTCTTGCTTTTCAGAAATGTGACCCCTTGGTCCGACCGGACTCCGACGGAAAGAAGGGGAGAGAAGAGACAGATCAGATCAAATAATCCAATTCATCGTTGTCCCTTGCAGCTGACCAGGAAGTTTTACCACGACGACTACAACCGTGTGGTCGAAAAGAAGATATGCACACGAAAGACACGAAGGTAGTCGTATACTGATGTGCACTGTGTCAGAAATTCAGAACGCTCACTGATTTTTTCAGCAGAAAACGAGCTGTGTCTTCAGACAGAAGCTCCAACAGAAGCCGAGCTTCTGAGTAGGCCAGTCGCTTCCTTCGCGCCGCCACCAAAAGCTCTTTATATCGTGAAGAACACTTGACATCCATCCATCCATCTCGGTCGGCACCTAGACCTCCTTCCTCACCTCTCATGTTTGTCATGTGTGCTACATCATGGACGCAGGCGGCCCGCAACCAGCCCCAGCCCCAGCCCCAGCCACCTGCCTCGGAGTCTTGGGGACCGCCGTCAAGTGCACCACCACCGCCCATCGCCCCTCACAAAGAATATCAAGCCGACAACAAAGGCCAACAAGCACAACATCAACATCGACCCCCCGCCGGCCGCTGCCGAGGACACAAACGCGTCGCTCATCAAAGTGAGCGGAGAGAGAGGGCGGGGCACTGACAGGCGATAATGCACTCATGTGTGTGTCTGTGTCTGTGTCTGTCTGTCTGTGTGTGTGCACATCGTCTTCCAGCGCCTTTTCTCCTTCGTTCCAGTGCCTTTTCTCCTCTGTTCCGACGGTTGTGGTGACAGATACCATCGACAAATCGTACCCACCACCACGATAGCCGAGAGAGACGACAAAACGGTCCTCTCAGGAGTTCGAACCGCAGACGGTTGAGGGTCACGTCCCTCGGCCTGCTCACGGGCTGCACAGCCATGTTCGCGCTCGTGGCTGCCGTGTACTGGAGCTGCGAGCTGTCCGTGGAGGTGCTGGGCCCGCTGCTGTGTGTTCTGACGGTCTTCTGCCTCGGCTCCATTGCTGGGTAAGAAATGTGCACCGCAGAAGCATGATCTTGACCCATGATTCATACGTAACTCGTCGTGTGTGTATTCGATGTGTGTGTTTCCCTTCAGGGCTGTTGGCATGATATGTGACATCATCTGCCCGCCGGGACTCACACCCACACAACTGCTCACCGTGTTCGCGTTGGCGCAGGCCGTCATGGGCGTGGTGTCTCTCTCCCTGTCTCAACACATCGCTGCTGGCGGGGTGGTCGGTGCTGGTGGCGGTATGGGGCGTCCTCACCGGGCCCAAGCGGAGGGTATTGTTCGGCAGTGGGAAAAGATGGTTGGGCAGACACACAGCGAGAATCTCGTCCTGGTACGCACTACTGTCTGTCTGCAGACACACACCAAACCACTCCACAGCCATTCTCTTGATTGGTATTCCTTGTTCATCTACACACATATATAGGACACTCGATTCTCCAGGAGACGGCAGGCCACCATCGCCGAGCTGTACGCTGACATCCGCCGCACCGCAGACACGTACGTATGGATCTGTGTGTGTGGGGAGAGGGAAACCCAGATATATCGATGCGTCTGTCTGCCTGTCCGTCTCAATCAGGTATCTGCGGAAGGACCCCGACCACCACAAAGGGAGACCCATTGCCTGTCCGCCCACCATCAGCCCTGCCAACCTGCTGCGGCGTGTGAGCCTGTGGCCCAGCCCCCTCCTCGCCCTTCCCCCCCCCACACACATCGGCAACCGTATGCCCACGCACACCGAGATGCACAAGCACGGTGTGAGAACATGACGAGATCGACATGTGGGAGTCATCCTTTCGTGTCTCTGTACTCGCAGATCGAATCGTTGTCTACATTTTATATTCGTCGGCATATCTTCGGTTCTTCGCAGTCATGTCGTTTCCGACAGGACCAGAACAAGACCTCAATGGCAAAGACATACATTGAATACATAAGGAGTACTTTGTCTTCTTTGCTCTTCTCTCTGTCGATGGGTGGTTTGCAGATCGCTGGCTACATTTTATATTCGATCGGGCCGATGACTTCGAATCGCACGTACTGTCTTGCTTGCCGTTTGCACATCAGAAGTGAGCTGTCAAAATATACTATGTATACTGATCAAGTCAGTCGTGTGTACGTGTCTTGTGCCTCTTCGTGTACAGATGGATGTCGCTGTCTCCATCTCATATCTCCGATGGGCCTGCCTACTAAATCATCCACGTCTGCCCCCGGCGGCCCCACAGGTACGTACCTAAGTGAGGGAGACACAAAAGAGGTGATAATCAAGATTTGCTCATGTCTCTTCTCTTTTCTCTGTTTGTCTCCGCATCTTTGGCCGCTTCGGCGGCCCCCTGAGACGCCTCCTCTATCTGGCGCGCTACCCCACGGGCCAGCCTACGCCCTCCACTTGCAGCGTTGATGACGCTTGCCTGATGCGATGTGGGTACTCACCTGTGTGTTCCCATCTGTTCTGCGATCCCCAGGAGGTCAGTCGTCTCTTGAAGGAGAAGTTGCGCGCCGAGCGGGAGGAGAGGGTTAAGAAGGAGGCCCTACTCGAGCAGTTGGACCGAGAGGGAACGCGGGCCAATGGCTGCCAACGACCTCTGCTGCCCTGTCTTTCAGGAGCTGTTGCGTATGTGCCGGGACAAGTCGGAGATCAACAAGGTAAGATCAGCGACTTGAACACATGCCAATCTGAATGCCCGTGTGGTGTGTGTACATTTTATATCGCGGCGGGAGGGAGGCAAGGGTGGGACGGCACTGCCTCGGTGCCATTGCTGGGTGAGAAATAAGCACCGCAGAAGCATGGATCTCGACCCATGATTCATAGCTCGTCATGTATCCGGTCTGCGTGTGCGTTTCAGGGCTGCGGGGATGATGTGGGACATCATATGCCCACAGAGCCGCGTCTGTGCCACCACGCCAGCCCATGGCGCCGCCAGCAACAAAACCCTCGGCATGCTCCCCCACGCCCTCTCGGTGGTCATGGCCATCGAACAGCTGGCCCTCGCGGCATCCTGGCTCATCTACGGCTCGTGCGTGGGAGTCTTCGGGCCCGCTGTCAAGTGGTGCACCGTCACCGCACCACGACACTTCAACGGATCCCTCACGGTGAGCCAGGGCAGCCAGGGAGGGAGGGGAGGGAGGGAGGGAGGGAAGCGAACAATGCACCACACACGTGCACTTGTGTGCCTTTCTTTGTGTGCCTTTCTTTGTGTGCCTTTCTTTGTGTGCCTTTCTTTGTGTGTGTGTGTGTGGTGTGTGTGTGTGCAGTGGTTCGGTCTGTCTGCGGCTGAGAAGCCCATCGTCAACGCCAAGGGCGACACCCGCTGCGCCACCCACGACAGCCTCCCACCACACGACACGGCCTCCACCTCCTCCCCCAGCAGCCACACGCCCACACTGGGCCTCAAGAAGAAGAAGAGCAAGAAGCGGGCCAAGTTCGTGCCCGATCCAAGGCTTTACGCCAACCCAGAGGCAGCAGACAGCACCGCCGCCACCATCATGGCTGTCGTCGAGGGTGTGGTCGAGGGGCTTTGTGGGCTGCCGTCTGCTGTTTTCGGCTGCCTGGCCTTCGTGTACAGCTTCGCCGAGAGCTGCCTCAACGACCTGTGTTGCTTCGCCAAGGCCGTCTGGCTACTGATGAGCCGCCCATCGCCCAAAACCAAGATGGTCAAGGCCGACAAGGAAGGCGAGTACGTCATCGAGATCCCTCTGTTGCTCGAGGTGAGCCAGAGG